CCCCAGTGCCTCGGCGTAGCGCTCTGCATCCTGTTTTGTGGGGGGGGGAGGCGCGGGGGGCGGGGCGAGGGGCGAGCCCCGGTGTGGGCAGCGGCCGCATGAGCGCGCGCGAGCGGGTGAGAGGCCGGCGGGCGCGCTTGCAAGTCGCTCAGACCCGGGACGCGCGCGCGCCGCGTCCCCGCGCCAGCAGGGCCGTTTTCGCCCGCCGCCGGGCGCCGTTTCGTGGGCGCTGCTGGCAGGGCTCACAGCAGCACGGCCTGCAAATCGTCCTCGAAATGTATCTCGATCTGAAAGTGTTTACTGTGTGCCAAAAACATACCTGCAGCACATCTGCTGTGTAGGAATAGACAAAGTCCAGCAGCATCGCCAGCACCCGCGGCTCCGCCTCCTCTGCCCCCATCGAGCGCAGCACGCCGCGCACGGCGACGGCGTCGGACGGTAGCTCTGCCGCCGCCGCCGCCGCCGCAGCGCCGGCAGCCGGTGCCGCGCCGGGCCGCCCGCCGGCAGGCGGGCGGTCGGCCATGGGGAGTGGCGTGAGGGGCGCTCTGGGCTGGCGCCGAAGGGGTGAGGGGGGGCACGTGGCGCAGTGCCGGCGGCGCCAAGGAACGCTGCTTCTCAGTGACGTGCGCTGCCCCTTGAGCGGCTGCAATACTTGTAGATCTTGCAGGTTATGATGTGATTGGATCCTACGCTAGGTTGTACTGTGGACGTTTCCTGTGCTTGAACTGGCGTGATCTGGCGTCCTGGACGATAAGGGCGACAGCATCAATACCGAGGGCTTCAGAAGAACATTGAGTTGTGTCAAATCGATCGCACCCAACCTCGAGCCTTAGTGCCCCGGCCGGGGGGAGAGTTGGTCAGAAGCTGCCCTTGAGACCCGGGTGCTCGTTGTACCCGCGCTTGGTGCTTTCGCTCCTCAACGGCCACTGTCACGACTCACTCTTAGCGTTTGCAAGCACCTCAGTCCCGCATCTCCCAGGCTCCTACCTGCAGCAGCTCCAGACACAGCCGAGATGGCCCTGTCAATGATGCGCAGCAGCATGGCGGTGACCGGTGCGTGGATCGGCCTTGTGATTGAGACACATTGCCTGTTGCGTAAGCGCCCAGGAGCTTCAGAGGGCATCATTGGCACCAGCACCCGGATCGCCTTCCCTCGCACCACTCTGGATCTCATGGACTCACCCGCGCCCCTGCCCCTCTTGCCGCGTGCGTTGATGGATCCGATCCGCGGACGCAGCCCCCCGCAGCCGCCGCGCTGCGGTGGTGGTGCGCGCCGAGGAGGCCGCCGCCGCCCCTCCGGCCCCCAAGAAGGAGGTCGGCCCCAAGCGCGGCTCCACGGTGGGCGCTGTTGACAGCAAGCACCCACGATGATAACGGGTCTGCGATGGCCTATTCACCGATCCGGGGGCCGCAGCTGTCGCGCCAGCCTGCCCCGCCGCAGCGGGATCGCCCAGCGCGCTCAGCGTGGCGAGCTGCAGCGGCGAATGGGGATCGGATCCCCGCACCACACCGGCGCCATGGCGAGTCGTGTCGACCATCCCTTAACTGACAAATGCAGGTGAAGATCCTGCGCCCCGAGTCTTACTGGTACAACCAGACCGGCAAGGTCGTGTCCGTTGACCAGGTGGGCGGCGCGCAGCTTTTGGGTGATCTGGGCCAGCGCGCGCAGGCACCCCTTGGCGGGCATCGCGCGGCCCCGCCCAGGCAGCTGGCGCGGCTGTGTGTGTGTGTGTGTGTGTGTGTGTGTGTGTGCAGGAGCTGTGGCGTGCGGGCGCTTGGACGGACGCCAACCCCTGGAGCTCCAGGGGCGTCCCGCGGGAATGTGACACTGTGACACGCGGCAACAACACGGCGCGACGTCCCTCGCCTCTCACACACACACACACACACACACACTCACACACACACACACACACACACTCGCACGCACGCACGCACACACGTGCACACACATACACACACACACACACCACTCAACCCTGTCCCCCCCGCGGCCCCCAGAGCGGCATCAAGTACCCCGTGGTGGTGCGGTTCGAGACCCAGAACTACGCCGGCGTGACCACCAACAACTTCGCGCTCGACGAGGTTGAGAGCCCCAAGAAGTAAAGTGACCAGCCATGCACACTGCCTGGAGTTGTGTTTGCAGGTGGGCATCGGGGCCGCCCGGGGGCGTGGTACGGTTTGCCACTGATGGATTGCGGCTGGGCTAGAAGCTATGGGGCTGTCCGACGGATGCTGATGCAGCACCGGCGGGGCAGCATTGAGCCTCTTTCACACTCGGTCTGACCTCCTTGCAGGTTTTTTCAAGTGGGACACGTTCACTGCGGCATGACGCGCACGCAGCAGCAGCAGCAGCAACCGCGGCGGTCGCTCCGCCGCGGGGGCCTCCGCCCCACATGAGTGTCTCGAGCAGTAGTGCACCTGCTCTTCACGCCACAGCGGCGTCAGTAAGCTCCCTTGTGCTGTCCCAGTCAACTGTAATCGCGTTACTCAATTGACCTGGGCATTGCATCGGCAGGGCTGCGGAAGGGGCCACATGACTGGCAGCCTCAGCCTGCGCACAGGGCAGGTGTTGCTGTGGATATCCACACAAAGATGGCGGTGGGGGCCATGGCGCAGGTGAATGGCGGCAGTGTGCACTGCTGGTAGTGGCAGTGGTACTACAGGACGGCAAGGGGTCTGGTGAAGGTCAAAGCAGCATGTCTCGCCGAGCAGTGGACGCTGGAGGCCGCCAAGACAACAGGCGTCCCCACCATGATAAGGTATGCATCTGAAATCAAAGCTGGTTACCCCTAAGTATCCAAGATATGGCCAAGTTTGGTGATGTCGTGCAGCGGCGGCCGGGTGGCCTGTCATGTGCGCGGTGGAGGGTGACGTGTTTTGCAGCCGGCCGACCTTTGTTGTTGTCGAACTTTCCACCACTGATACGTTGGCAATCAGCACAAGCTTATCCGTATTAACAGACAGACAGCCGCCATGCAGACCACGAGCACCCGCGGGCTTCGCTGCGGCACGGCCAGCAATGCTGCTGTCCGCCCTCGCAGCCTTGTCCAGGCCCGTGCAACCGCCGCGCCGGCTGCGCCTACAAAGGGTGCGTGCGTTACGCTGTGCAGACGCGACGACTTTGGTGTCCGCACCGGTTTCTGACAGATCACGCCTGGCTCGCAGGCCTCTTCCAATATGATGGGCCTCTGTCGGAGGTCGACCCAGAGGTAGCCAATATTATCAAGAAGGAGAAGTCGCGCCAGGTGAGGCTCGTGGACGCCGGCCGTCAGGGCAGCGCGCCGCTGTGTGTGGCAGTGCCAGGCGGGCAATCGCGGCCGCCGCCGGCCGGCCGTGCCGGCGCTCGGTGCAACAGCCGGCACAAGGACGGCCCTTGCGAGACGCTGTCACCACCAGGCATTGCCGCTTGTCTCAGCCACCAGCAGCACAGCAGCCGCCGGGCGGGCGGGGCGCGTCATCGCGCCCTCACGACCCACAGCCAAGCCCCTGCCCTTTCATCACCCCTCTGCCCCGCCTGCACCCTGCCGTGGACCTTCCTTCAACGGCCCCTCTCCCCTCTCCCCGCCGCGCAACCTACATGCGCACGGAGGCTCATGCGCCCACGCCATGCGAGCAAACCCCGCCCGCGCCCCCACACGATGCGCATGCATGCCACCCATTCGCTCCCCCACCTCCAACCCACAGAACCGCGGCCTGGAGCTGATTGCATCGGAGAACTTCACGTCGCGCGCGGTGATGCAGGCGCTGGGCAGCTGCATGACCAACAAGTACAGCGAGGGGCGGCCCGCGGCGCGGTGAGGGGCCGAGGGGGGCGCAGGCAGGGGGCTGCAGGCTGCTAGGCGCAGTGAAGGGGGTTTGGGCAGCCGTGGCCGCGGCGAGGAAGGGCGGCGGGGCGCAGGCAGGGGAGCACGGGCGGCTAGGCGCGGTCGGGTGCAGGCAGGGTGGCCATGGCCAAAAATGAGCCAAGGGCGCAGGCAGCAGGGCACAGGCACGAAGCCGCAGTCTGGTGCAGGCTGCGGAGGCGCGGCAGGGGGCGGACTTTCGGGCTGGGAGCTTGGGAGCATGGGCAGAGTTGGGGCCGCGCGGGGGTGATAGCAAGTCAGGGGGGCGCGGTGGAGATTTGGGTAGAGGGGCCGCTGCGGAGGGGTGCGACAGGTGGGGCGCAGCAGTCGCGCGTGCGCGCACACACACGCGAACACAAAAGCACGCACGCACACACACGCACACACACACACACACACACACACACACACACACACACACACAAAAAAAACGCACAAAACACACAAAACACACAAATAACACAAAACACCCACGCACACCGACAATCAAACGCATTTGCCTCGCAACACACAACACACACATACACACACACACACGCACACACACGCTTTCCCTCACAATCGCATGCCCGTGCCTTCCGCGCAGCTACTATGGCGGCAACGAGCACATCGATGAGATGGAGCTGCTGTGTGAGGCGCGCGCCCTGGAGCTCTTCGGCCTGGACCCCGCGGAGTGGGGCGTCAACGTGCAGCCGCACAGCGGGTCGCCCGCAAACTTTGCCGTGTACACGGCGCTGCTGCAGGTGGGGTGGGGTGCGTGGGGGT